GCTTCAGACAGCACAGCCTGACTGAGAGTGCCCTAAGTTAATGCAGTTAAGGTTGCAAACTTGAAATCCAGGATATGCACTGTTGCTATTACTAAATCCATATGGCTCCATGGCAGTGTCCATGGGCTAATGTAATACTTCGGAATGCATATTGGGGTCCAAGGAGTAGGAGGTAGGGGTCGGCAGGATTGGTGTATTTGACTTCTGATTAAATATTGGGAAAACCGGTCATGGAACACTGCAGTTCTTGGGTGGGATTTGACTGCAGATTCAGTCATCAAAATTCAGATATCTCCTTGTTGGGCTTTAGATCCTTACTTTGCTGTAGTCAGAGGACATCTGCTCAATACAGTTAGTGGACTCTAGAGAAATATTCAGCCATAGGGTCACCAGGTATCCACTTAAAGTTTAGATGAATCACTTTCTAAACTAAACTAACAGGAGTTTAACTATGTAGATCACATGCAGACTCCCATATTCAGGTTTCTGAGTCTCAAATCCCATCCCTTGGGCTCCACTTGTTCATTAGAGATCCTACCAGGTCACTGGCTGCAAGTCCAGAATGGTGTGGTTCCTATGGTAGTAGATCATATGTCATAGCTGTCAAACCCATGCGGATGACAAAGCACACCAGGAACTTACACAGACACATAACTGTGTCGTACTCTTTATGTGTGTATTTTGTAAGAGATGCTGAAATACACTGTAAGGTCCCTTTAAAAAACAGACAAAAAAACCCACAAAACTTCTTTTTTAGTTATGGAAGAAGATGGAAGACCTCAAGGATCTGACACCATGGAGCTCATTAGGAAAAAGACAGAGATCTGTTTCCTGGGTACTTTCATGAGGACATAAAGGACTCTCAAGTACCTACTGGAGCAAAGTGTCGGAAGACCTGAGGGATTCCAAATGGGGTTGTACATGAAGGCCGGGTGCCTTTTTCAAAGACTTATTTAAGCCAAACTTGAAGAATTGAGCTCAGGGTATAACTGATACGGAGAGGCGGTGATCTAAGGGATGGAAAGGTAGACATTCTTAGGAGACATCTTGAACTCTAAATCTTGCTTTTGCGTTTTTCTGCTGTCAACTTTATCATTCTGCTGTCAACTATTTATTACAGTTTCTGCAAACAAAGGGAAGGGCTTATAGCTTGTGAAACATGTAAGATTGTCATAAATGTATAGCTTACAGCTTTAAATTTCCATGTTTTTCTAGGTCTTTGGTTTTTTCTTTGTTTTTTTTTTGGTGTTTTTTTGTTTGGTTTGGTTTTTTTTTCCCCCCTTGCTGTTTCTTTAACTCACGTTAAATGGTTTTCAATTGTGTGGTTGTGGTACAGGAATACCCTGTTCTTCCTAGATCAAGACCTGTTTGAGATAGAAACTCCAGGATATCACTAAGTGCTTATAAGAATGAGGAATATGTAGGTCATCAGAAGATAAAGGGAAAACATGTGTTTCACAACTGAATGTGCTGATCAGAGCATTCACTTCTCCAGAGGGTTATAGGAGGGTATGCTTGCTCCAGTAAGACAGGAGATTCCTTGAGGAAAACTAAGCCACTGTGAATAGAGTGACTGACCAAAGCATGAGGGAAATCTCTTGGCATTTTTTCCAGCAAGAGGATGACTCCAACAGAAACAGCACGTGCTTTTTTGTACTCTAGGGTATGTGCAGTCTGTGAGTGGGAGATGATAGTTTCTCCAGAGAAACAAAACTAAATTTGAAGGTGGACAATCTGGCTCCATCGGGAAGCAAATCAGGTTTCTCCATCCAGGTCTTTTCAGTTTCGGTAGTATGTGCATCTGTTGTCTTTTGTGTAAGGTGGCCTTGCTTCCAATATTGTGCAGATAGCTATCAAATGTAATTAATTAGCTCCTTTTATAAAAAAACTTTGGCTATTATTTTCTGCACAGTCATTACAGAAGACTTGTAGATGTGGAAATTAAGAAATACAGTAAAAGGTGCTGGCTTTGTAGGCCATATTTCTTTTATGTAGGAAATTTTTGCCTGCTTAGCCTTTGGATGCAATTTTTAATTGTAAGCTGATTTTGCTAGACAAGGTCTAGATAGCCAGTCCTGAGCATTTCTTGCTGTGCAAACTGAATACCTAGCTCACTGCTTGTCTCTAGAGAGAAGAGCAGTCAGACTACTCGTGTTATCATTATCAGCCTGCTGATTACCTCAGGTCCTCCAGCTTGCACACAGGGAATCTGCGGGCAGCCAGGGCAGTCTCCAGCTGAAGAGGTTAGCTGTCTCTTGTGAAACTCAGGAGCTAGAACCTTTGCCTTACCTCATGCAGTAACTACATGATTACAGTCTGCAAATGGTTGTGTCTGGCTTTCAGACTACTTCATTAAGAGTTAATTTGTATGCACGTTTGGTTTTCCAAAGAAACAACACACATGACTGATCCACCCTATCATAAATTTTTATAATGATAAGGTGGTGCAGGCTCATCTAAAATTCCTTCCAAAGGCGGTGTCAGATTTTTACTTTAGTCATCCTAACCATCTTTTTCTTCCCTGTATTTTCACCGTAGCAAGGCTTTGTTTACATGAGCTGGATCCTGATAGTTCTACTCCCACTCCCACCCCCACCAGCTCTTTGCAACATATTGTAGATTATCATCACTAAAAGTTCAGTTTGGCTTCTTTATTTTTGATTAAGAAGCATTTATTCTCCTTGGAAGTCTTTTCCTTACAGCAGCTTTCCTCAACGCTTCACTTCAGGTTTGTGGCTGATGGTATGAGGAGTCAGAAGTACTTCAGAAAGAACTTTTTGTGGCTGTCTAGGGTGTAATGGAGGGAGAAGGGGAAGGCAGCAGGTATATAAATCCGATTGGGGAGTAAGCTGTCAGAAGGAAGGAACAGACTTTGATTGCCATTTGCCAAAGAGGATAGAGGGGAGGGAGCCTTTAGAAATTACCTAGTGTGTGGATGGCTGACAGGCTTGGCAGAGACAATGAGCAGTTAGGGAAAGTAGTGATCTAGACAGGAGAAAATTTGGAGGAGGTCAGGAATCGTTATTTCCTTTCTCCTCATCCCACAATAAAAATTAAACACGTTTACAGGGTTTTAAGGAATGTGGGAGAAGTACAAGGTAGAGAAGGGCTGATGGCAGTGCTGGTGAGGAGTCAGGGTGCTTTGTTTTGCTTTGTGCTGACATAAGCATGTGCATAATTGATCCAAGTGAAATACTGTGCACTCTTGCTGCTACTTTACCTCCTCATTATGAAATCTAGGTAAAATGTTCACAATCTACTGCATGTATCTAGAAGGTCAGACAACATGATGCCGTCATCAGCTTAACCCAGATGAGCAGTGTAGTGGTAATGCAGCTTCCTTAAGAGCTCCTATCCCATACCTTCTCTATAACTGCTTTCCATAATAGATTTATGAGACTCTATAATGTGCTTTTGGGATCTATGAGATGCAAGGCTTTACACTGATAAATCCTCTGTCATGAGCTAAGATCTTGCCTAGAGCTGAAGACTGAATTGTGCCAACTCATGCAGTCTTAATGTGTAAGGTGTGTGTGGGTTTGCTGTTTGGTCAGGTGAAATTAGGGTAAAGTCAAAGAAGCCTCAAGAAACAAAAAAGGAAACAGATGTAGGGGAAAAAAAAAAAAACACGCGGCGGGGGGGGGTGGGGTGGGGTGGCTACCAGAAGCGCAACAGGAAATGCAGTGTTTCATAGGCGCTTCCATTGAAAGTGTTTGGAAGTTCCGGTAGCTCTCTGGTATCTGACCTTAGCTGACATATAGCTTAACTTTTCCAACTCGATGCACAGAGAAAGGGATGGAAGCCTTTTTGCTATAAGACATGCATTCTCAGGACCCGGTGGCCACTAATGAACTTTTGGGATTCAGACGTCAGGCGACCACAAAATTCAGCTGGAATCTGCTTGTACATCGTATGGGATGATGAAGGTGGTGGCTTCTTTACAGTCCATAAAATTAAGACCCTTCAGAAAATATTATCATTTCTAAGGAATCTGTTAATGAAAATCGTTGAAGATCTTAGTGTTGAGCTAAAATTTCAGTTGTCTGGTTTTTATGTGGGGCAGGGTTTTTTGTGTATGGTCGGTTTTTCCCCTCCTCTCTTTTTTAAGGAGCAGAAGGGCGCACCCTGATTTCGGTGTGCCATACACATATACATACACAGCTGGTGTTCTGAAAGAAATTTGTGTGCAGATGATGCTTTTCATAGTATTCAAACTGGAAGAAGGATGTGAAGTGGTCTATGGGGAATGGGAGATTTAATTCAGGAAGCGGGGCCAGGATCTGCTGTCCTAAGCCACAGAGATTCATTCCACATTGTATCTAGTTTTCTAAGAGTAAATTCAGGTTTACTCCAGCCTGAATCTCATACTCTGAAGGAAGTCTGGCAAAACTAGCCTCTTGTGACACTTCTTGCAGTGTTTAACATTCTCTTCTTATTTGTAACTTTTCCCAATGCAGGCATTTGGGATGAAAAAGCTCACTTTCTCTGATGCTGGGTTTTCTTTCTAAATGGGACGTAGCTGTTTGTAGGAAAAAGTTATAAGTCTGTGTTGAAAGCTCTTCCAGTTGCCAAGTCTTTCAACTGGAAGTCAGTCTTTCAACAGTTTATTTTTACCTGGAGTGAAAAGCATATCCCTGATTAACCAGATAGCTTGGGTCCATTAAAGATTAGTTGCCCATTGGTCATCTATTACTTTGTTACAGCAGTCACAGGATAGTCAACAAAGTCACACACTAATGTTCAGTCAACCAGTTTTGTAAAGACATTTCTTAAAGAATAATGTAGAAGAAAACCATAAACTGCACAATTAGTCAAATTTGGTATTACTGTAAACTCTTCAAGTTGCTTAAAAATAGATGTCGCTTATATGTTATATAATGCATCCGCTCTTAAATTTGGTAGTTATGTTTAAATGTTTCAATAGTGTTAAATACTTTTATACTTGTCTAAATTAAGTTCTTCTGGCAAGAGTTTTTTATTTTGTTTCTATTGTGCTGCAGACTCTCCTACAGATTTTTGGTGTGGTGGCTGTGGCTGTGGCAGTGATTCCTTGGATACTCATCCCCTTAATTCCACTATTTATTCTTTTCATTTTTCTTCGACGATATTTCTTAGACACTTCAAGAGATATTAAACGTCTAGAATCCACAAGTATGTAGTTTGGCGGGACATAATGTTAGCTTGAAGCCTGCTTATTATTATGTGAAATGCTAGTATTTTATAGACAATCCATCAAAGTTTTTTTTTTTCTTTTGCTATGCAAATAACTGCCTTACTGCTTTGGTTCTCAACTAGTGAATTACATGCTTAGCTCCTGTTTTGCATAGTGATAAACCTTGGGTATGTCAGTTTTACTATCTGTAAGTAAAGCTAGTTCAGAACATGCTAAGTTTGGGACCTTGCATGCACGTACTAATGGTGTTTCTGACCTAATCTGACTCTTGTGCGTGACTGTAGCTTGGCTATGATATGGAATATTAAGCATTATGGATAACAAACATGGGTGCCTCATATCATTAATAAAGCTCAAAGAATTTCTTCAGTGACAGCTATTGTTAAAAACGTAAGACATTTTTGTATAAATTAATCTGCCTGGCTGTCTGACTGATTCTAATTGAGTAAGAGGACTTTGGTTAAAGATACTGCATATTTATTCTAAGAGGATGCAGTACAGTAACTTGTGTGGTTAACTATAAAGTAGTAGGATTAAAGATTAGTGTGGTACAAAAAGAATTAAATGTTGTCCTTCAGCTATTGCTACGTTATTCTCATTTCCCTTTGTAGCTAGAAGTCCAGTGTTCTCCCACTTGTCGTCATCCCTCCAGGGACTTTGGACTATTCGGGCTTTGAAAGCAGAGGAAAGATTTCAAAAATTATTTGATGCACACCAAGACCTCCACTCAGGTTTGTGATTAATTGACATGAAAAATCAAATACTTTGCTCTGTAGGAGGGAAATATCTTATGCCCTCAGCGACATGTATATAATGTGCATTAAACTCAGTAGGAGCTGTGCATTTGTCTCTTTAGGGTAAAATTTCTCTATTAGAACAAAAACGTTCCTATCTGTCTAGATTTTGAGAGTTTACTTTGGGCTGTAATATGATTTCAGATAGCCACACATATGTTTTAACAATGTCTAAGATAAACATTTTAAAGTATGCCTGATAAGAATATTTAAAGAATAATTTTTGACATTTTCTTGGATTCCATCTTTAAAAAGGAAGGGGGGGGAGGAACAAGCTCTATTGTGAAGCATTTAACATTAAGTAGTGTGCTAGGAGTAGGCAGAGATGATTAGTATAAATCATCTTGGAAAAGTTTCATAAATCTCACTTCTTTTTTACTTTGAGCAGCTTTCAGGGCTCAGATCTAATATACGGTATTAACATGACCAGAAGGTGTAAAATATTAGTATTCTGCAAGCATAATTAGTACAATCCAGGTTTGCATTGTGATTCTTCCCTTCTGTCAATCAAATGTTGTCTATTACAGTGTTTTTCAAGATGCAGCAGAATACAAGTTTGCAATTGTATGCTTGTTAAGTAAGATCTTAACATAAGACATACAAGTATGTTCTGTGGCTTTTTTTAAATTTAGAGATTTCAAGGTTTCAAACCAGACCAGTTGATCTTTTCTGAAGCACAGCTTATCACAGGTTGTAGAATCGTGCACACTGACCTCTGTGTAGAGCTCAGTAACTTGCGACTGGGGAAACGTATCTTCCAGGGAGGCACCTCTAGCTTTTCATTCCCCATTTCTTACTATCTTCAAGTCACTAGTTATCTGACCAAATCAATGTTAAAGCAGCTGATAGCGAGGGAACGCAAGGCTGTTTCTTAAGCTTTTTAGTAAAAGACATCTTTAGTTGATAAACTGCATATAAAAGCTTCACTACAGAAAGAGGACTGTAACCTTTAAAAGAAGTATTTTCTTGTATTTTAAGGTCAGATCTAAGGAACACAAACACACTATTTTCCAGGCGATTTTATGCATCTCTCTAATAAAACTGTCAGTATTGCTCTTCCTGGGCAGTTCAGGAACCTGCTTTTGAGATCAAGCTTCAGTGCTTACAGTTGCACTCTTTTGTCTACCTACTCGCTTCATCTTCGTGTCTTTTCCGCCAGAATATTTGGGGTACAGCAGCTTGCTCAGCATGTGTGTAGTTTTTGGTCCTTGGAGGGAATATAAGCCAGCAGTGTGCCTGGGTAGAAAAGGCAGCCAGCAACATCCGGGCTGTATTAACAGGATCACAGCCAGTGGAAGGAGGAAAGTGATTATCTCCCTCAGCACTTGTTAGCCCACATCTGGAATACTGCATCCAGTTTTGGACCCCCAGATGCGTGAGACACTCTAACAAACTGGAATGAGTTCGGTGGAGGGGCCACTAAGATGGTCAGGGACTAACAGGAGACATCTCCCTGTGAGGAGAAGCTGAGGAAACTGGGTTTGTTCAACATGCAGAAGAGTAGGCTTACAGAGGATTTAATAGCTGCCATCCAGTACCTACAAGGAGAAGATAGTGAGGCTCTTCATAGTGGTACATTGTGGGAGGAGCAAGAAAATGTGTGTAAGGTGTAACGAGAGATTTAATCTGGATACAAGGGAATACTTTTCACCCTGAGGGTTCCACAGGGGAACAAGTTGCCCAGAGACATTGTGCAGGCTCCATCCATTTGGATTTTCAAGACTCAAACTGCATAAAGAATGAAGCAACATGGTCTCACCTCGGAGCCGATCGTGCTTTTGAGTAGCAGTTTCAACTAGAGACCTTCTGAGGTTGCTTCCACCCCAAATGATTCTTTGATACTAAGTGTGTGCAAGCAGTAGGCAATAGAAGAGGATACCTTTCATACTAGCTCACAAAGTTGGAGTCCTGGGTTCTTACATCTCTTAAAGAGTTTTCTGCATTGCAGAAGTCTCTCCCAGCAGCAGTGTTTTGTTTAGTGCTTTTGGCTGGAGTGGTATCCTCCTCTTTATAAAACAGGACACTTGCTTTGAATGCTTTTTCAGGGATGCCTATGAATTTGATATTAAATAACTTTAGATAAAAAACATCTAAAAGGTATGCTGAGGTCTGATAGAACTGTGTTTCCTTCCTGTCAGTGCAATATGTCTATAAGCAAGCTCACGAGTTGTCAGAAGTTGCACCGTGAGTCTTTGTTAGTCCCCATAACTGCCATATTCTTTCCTGCGTGCCCAGTGACCCCAGTTACATGGGGAGGTTGAAGAATAACCCATCTCAAGCTGGCAGTTTAGTGCACCTTCCTGGCCAGAGGGATCAGTGGAGCAAAACCTTGGAGCTGAAAAACCTGCAGCACAAGTGTCCTATTTCTTGGTCTTACAAGTACATTATTGCACCAAAAATGACCTTTCATGTCACCAGGAAGCTGCTATAGACTGTTTCCAGGGCTCCCAGTTTTCAGAGAGGTGCCTAAATTATTATGGTAAATTCAATTTGTGGAACTAGGCTGGTGAATTAGTGTGCTGCTCTCTTCTGCATACGTCATTCTGTGTGCTTGGGCCTATGACTGTCCATTAGACCATATAAAATGTCTTGTTTAATGAAACCAGCTCCTAAATGTGTAGTCAGGCATATGCTGTCAGAGTTGGTATAAATATGACTAAGAGGTTACCAACTCTAGACCTTACTTGTCTCTCGTCATGCTCTCTTTCATCTAGAACTTAAATGGAGTTCTGTTGGCTGGTTTAATCAGTCCACTGTCTAGTTATCCAAAACAATCTGTCTTAAAAGCAGACTTACCTCCTCCATTTCTACGTAAAAGGAAGATTATTTCACTTTGAATCTTTCCCAGCACTGGGCTAAGAAACATTGGAAGAGTTGAAATAGCACTGATCTTTAGCATGGAGTATGACAAGCAATCATAGAATCGAAGAGTGGCTTGGGTTTGAAGGGACCTTAAGGATCATCTAGTTCCAACCCTTCTGCCACGGGCAGGGACACCTTCCACTAGATGAGGGTGCTCAAACCCCTGTCCAGCCTAGCCTTGAACACTGCCAGGGATGGGGCAGCCACAGCTTCTCTGGGCAACCTGTGCCAGTGTCTCACCACCCTCATAGTAAAGAACTTCCTCCTAATAGCTAATCTAAATCTCCCCTCTTCTAATTTAAAGCCGTTACCCCTTGTCTTATCGCTACATGCCCTTGTAAAAAGTCCTCTCCAGATACTTGCAGGCCCCCTTTAGGTACTGGAAGGCTGCTAGAAGGTGTCCCTGGAGCCTTCTCTTCTCCAGGCTGAATAACTGCAACTCTCTTAGTCTGTCTTTATAGGAGAGGTGCTCCAGCCCTCTGATCATCTGCGTGGCCCTCCTCTGGACTTGCTCCAATGGGTCCACATCCTTCTTGTGTTGTTGGCCCCAGAGCTACTGCAGGCAGACCGGATGCAGCCTTGTCGTTTTGCCATTTGGCTTTTTGCTGACCAACACTCCAAGTCTTTCTCCTCAGGGCTGCTCTTAATCCGTTCTCAGTGCAGCCTGTATTTGGGATTGCCCTGACCTGGGTGCAGGACCTTGCACTTGGCCTTGTTGAACCTCATGAGGTTCACACTGGCCCTTGTCTCAAGCATGTCAATGTCCCTTCACTCCAGTGTGTCAACCACACCATACAGCTTGTATCACTGGCAAACTTGCTGAGGGTGGTCTCAGTCCTACTGTCCATGTCGCTGACATGGACAATGAGGAAAGCGTTGGAATGGTGGGTTGGAATGGTAACCTTCTGCTTTGTCTTAATAGCAGCTGGAACAATTCATCCAACTGCAGCCTAAGAGATAAATAATGCCATATTTTGTTATGGCTACTTGACTTCTGGTTTTGGCCCTGAATTCAAACATTTTGTCGTCTGTATTGCAATGTCTTTTCTTGCTGTCTCCTGTATCTTGTACTGTAGCATATCTGAGATGGAATTTAGCACCAAATTTGGACACCTGGATGTGAGTGCCCAGTGGAGATGTCCACCTGTGAGCTTCCCCGAGAGCAGATACATGCATTTAGTCACTTGCAGAGCTCTGTAGCTCCCCTGACTGTATAGAGTAGCTCTTATGGGAGCTTGACTATCTGCAGCTGCCTTCTAAATACTTGGTTCTGACAGCTGTGGTATGTTTTAGCTAAAAGCCTCTAGACTGTATTCCAGCTACAGCAAATGTAGCTGTACTTCTGCTTTTGTATAAGGTTTCTGAGTCCACTAGAGTTTAAAAAAAGGCTTTCATTTTAAATAAACGGACCATACTTCAGGCCATTAGGGTTTTTTTCCCTGTTATTGTATGTTCTACTAGCTGTGGTTGCTCTTGTGGTTGCTAATAGTGTGAAAACTAGATTAGGCCATTTCAGGAAAAATGGACAATATTCTGATCACCATCAGTCCATATAGACATGGACTTGAAGATGGCAATGCTGGAGGCTTTTTAACAACTTGTATTAACATTAATTTAATGATAATTATACAGCTCAGTTTTCTAATAATCCACTGTTTTTATATCCTTGTAAAATACACTTTAGAGGCCTGGTTTCTATTTTTGACGACCTCAAGGTGGTTTGCTGTACGTCTGGATGCCATCTGTGCCATTTTTGTTGTAGTGGTTGCTTTTGGTTCCCTGGTTCTCACCAAAGGTAAGTACAGATGTTAGAAAAAGTTCATCCAGTAATTACCATGTATAGTAATGTCTAATTCTTTTTTCATAAATTGCTGTTTCTAATTGTTTAAGGACTGTAATTAAGTTAAATGTTTCTTTCTAGATCATGATCTCTTCCTCGGTGTAGGGCATTGGGGCTGTATCTCGTTTCCGGCAAATACTGGAGGCAGTTCAGACATATTCCTGGCTTAGGCATGCATCTACCATCACCCCCAGATGTGCAAACAAACTTGTAGATCTGTAGTCTTCATTTCTGAGATTCTGGCTTTCAAAGCAATAACAACAAATAGATCTTTTTCTTTTTCCTCACCTTTGCTTTTTTTGGGGGAACCTTCAGGGTTTTGCTTTATGTACTGAAACACCCACAGAGATGCTTCTTAACAACTTTATTCCTTTCTACACATGGCACAGTAGGCCAAAAGGCAAGCTGAAATTCCTAGGGATACTCTTATAATATCTCGGATCGGCAGGATAGGCCAGTTCCAGAAAGAAAATCACCTTGTAATAATACATTTTATGTTCACTGTCACTCATGAGCTGTCATTAGTGTATGCATCATCCAGGATGTAATTGGGCTAGATGTACTAGAATGAGATAGTCATCTAAAATATGAAGGAAGAAGTAATTATCTTGGACATGAAAATTAGTGCTAATTTGCTGGTTTTGTTTCTTTTCTTTTTCCTTTGGATAAGTTCTGTAAATGCATATGTTTTTTAAAATTTGAACACTCTGTGCTGCTCAACACTGAAAATTTTAAACTAGGTTTGATGTTATTAGAATGCAAAAAGCCAAGTTAGAACAATGGTCCTGAATCTTTCTCTGCCTCTGAATAAGGAGTAGCTCTCTTGAAGTCAATAGAGCTATGCCAGGATAAAGTTTAAGTAAGTCAGAGGACAACCATGCTTAATATTGGGCCAGACAGAATTCATTTATTTTGTAAGAGTAGACCCACTGAACACAATGAATGCTTATATAAACAAGGGAAGAAATATTCCTGTTATTTTATCTGATCATTTACAAGAGTGCAAAGTGATATAAAAATGTTCATAACTTTGAAATCATTTTACACTAATTTTTTGCTTAAGTTTAGGTGCTGATCTAATTCCCATAGGAAAAAAAAGTGAAAAGTTACTAATGCTCAGCCAGATAGGGTGGACTGTAACAAGCTGTGTAAATAGGGTCTTGAGACTGAACCTCAGTTTTTAGATAAAATGACAGGCCAAGGAGAATTGTGACAATCTTTTCAAATACAGACAATTTCCAAAACATACCTAAAAAAATGCAGAAAGTAGCTGTTCTGTCTGGAGCTCCTCCTTGCACAGATGGCAAGTACAGTGTAACCAAACAGAATTCTGGCTGTGATACTTCCACCATGTAAGTAACCTCATGAAAGTGAAGTTAACTAGGATTTTGTGTAATTACCGGTGTACTTATTTGATTCTCTTCTTTCTTTGTTGTGCAGCTTTGAACGCAGGGCAGGTTGGTTTGGCACTATCCTATGCAATCACCCTCATGGGAACATTCCAGTGGGGTGTTAGACAAAGTGCTGAAGTTGAAAACCTGGTAACGTTTATTTCTTCCTTTTCACCTCCTGGTTCCTTTTCATGGTTGTGACATGAGGCCTTAAGGATGGGATTCTTCTTAATTGTCTTAGGACATTAATACCTTAGCAAGCAATTGAAGCACCACTTACAGTCCATAAAGAAAAATAGCCTCTGTGAGGGTATAATTTGTCTGGCTGATTTTGAGTGTTTGTTGAGATGAGCTGTGTCCAGTGAGTGTCTCTCTCCATTCATAGTAAGGGAGGCTTTATAATCTCTCTTTACAACAGCAGAGACTGTCTAGTTACAGTGTAGACAATTGCATTACGACTTGCTAAAATTACAAGGAATAAATCCCTCTCTGTAAATAAGATTTTTAATTTAATTTTTCTTTTAGATTTGGGGGTTTAAATTTATTAAAAAATTATTTATAGCCTTCATGGCATTTTTAGGGTCCTGTTAATTCATTGTAAAGGCTTGTATCTTCTTAATTTGTCGTGAGTTAACAAATACTTGAAAGTGTTTATGTTCTGCTGAGTGAATTGTGTGTTTTCCAAACTTTTATCAATTAAAATGCCTTCCACCAATTTACACTATTGCTAGCATGTTTTAGTTGCCTATTTACTTTCTTAATTTAATATATAAAAAGGGTAAAAAAAGAATATACTATGCATAAACCAGGGGAGGTTGTGTTGCTTTGACAACTAAAGGTTACTTGTAATTATTGTTTGCTGACCATAGTCTAGGAAATACATGTAGTCCTTTTGTAGAAGTTGAGAAGCCATGTTTAATAGTAGATAAAATTAATAATAATGATAGATTAGTATTTTTTGTTGTCTAGCACATTGCTTCTTCAGAGCATTTTTCAGACATGAATAAACTAGTGACTAATGGTGACAGACTTTGCTGAGAAATGGGAAGAAAGCTTTTGCGTTTTTTCTTGCCAGTTGGGAAGTTTTGGAAGTGTCAATCTCTGGGACTCTCTTATGTAGTGAGATACTCTCTTGGAGGCTGTGATTCAGAAATACTTTGAAGGAGAAAGGCTTGCCATTCAATAAGCAGACTTTGATGTGGAATGCTGATCATTATATGGAATTGCAGTTAGCATCAACTTCTTTCACAGGTGGACGTCCACCAAAAACCTCTTGTCTGATTACATTTGGGGGAGGCAGGAACGTTTCCTCTCTATTCTACTTTGTCATTCCTTCCTTATGTGCTTTTCCTTGGAGCTTATTTTGTAATATGGAAAGGGTAGATGGCAACAAGATCAGAGAACTTGCTGCCTGGTGACCTCTGCCCTTAAAGCCGCTCCAGGCAATATACGCCTACTGGATATCTTTATGATGGTTCTTTTTTTTTTCAGTATCCATCTGTGGGTGGATACCATTGAAGACAATTAGTTGTATTGAGAAGATGTATGGATGAGGATGCACATCAGAGCCTAAACAGGACTTTTATTATTTGCCCAAGGGGTAAAAAATGTCTAGATAGCTCAACTTCTGTTCCTCTTTCTTCCTGTAAGATTAGAGGCATCAGCAAATATTGTAGTTTCTTTCATATCTGGCATAAAATACATAGGAGAACAAGTTTTATTGCATATAAGTCACTAATGATATGGTGAGAGCTGTTTTGGATTGTGGAGTTGCCTGTGACAAACATTTAAAAGATTTTCTAGGGGTGAGCACAGTGGTAATGATGAGGACAAAAATGGGATGATGAAGCCAGTAACTTGATACTAGTAGCTATTGTGCATCTGCCTGTAGTTCATATGGCAGTTTCATTTCTAGCCTTTGTTTTCCCAATGCACAATAAAATGGTGTCATCTTGGTCAAAACTGACAGACAACTCTCATAGCTTGAATTTCTTAATACTTATGCATGTATGTAGATCTGTAATTAATCCCACTGGTTAGAAATTAATGCTTGTGTATGGATTTATGTATCATGATAGATCTGGGTCTGTAGTAGGCCATAAGATGCATTCTTTCCACTTTTTTTAGTTGTATAAAGTAAACATTGGATGGTACCAAATACTCTTATCTGTGATCAAGAGAAAAACTCTGAAAATTCGCATTGAATCTTTATAGTAAAAATTACACGCAAACATATTTATATGAATGTAGTATTTGCGATATATGCAATAAGCTGAAATTTATGTAATATGTGAAATATATTATGTGATTTATGAAATACATGTCTTCTTTCCTCTTCTTAGATGATATCAGCAGAAAGAGTAATGGAATACACAGAACTTGAAAAAGAAGCTCCTTGGGAAACCAACAAGCATCCTCCACCTGAATGGCCAAGCCAAGGAATGATAGCATTTGAAAATGTTAACTTCACTTACAGTCTGGATGGACCTTTGGTGTTAAGACATCTGTCTGTTCTAATTAAACCAAAAGAAAAGGTATGTATATGGCTGTCTGTAGGCATTCGCAGAAATTAAGCAAAGATGGTAACCTGACACAAGGCTGTGTGATAAAAATTCATTATAAAATACATGGATGTTAGGAAATTAGTAAGTGTTCTTTTAAAGAATAAGCCTTAGTCATATTTAAAAACAAAAGTTGGAGCCTATTTATTTCCTGTAAGTGTAGCATGCGTGCGTCTGGAACACAACATTTCTATCTGTGAAAAAAAAAAATGTTTAAGCATATTTCATAATATTCTAAAAAATTTGGGAAGTGGCAGACATTCAAAACACTAGGACTGAAATGTTTCTTCAAATCCAAAGTAAATGGAGCTGCATTAGGAAATTGTGGATTCAGTAGAGGGAACATAAATGGAACAAAGGATGTCAGCAGACAAAGGTGAGCAGAGACAATTGAAAATAAGGAATGTACATGCTCTTGCACAGAGCCCCAGATGGAAGAGAGAAGAAAGAAATATAAATCAGTTGTACAACTTGAAAATTGGGGGGTTCATTTCAGTTCCTTTCGGCTACCAATCCAATTAACTGTTGCCATTAATTAGATTGCTAGCCAAAAGAAACACAGAAATAAAACTCTTCTTCTGCTGCAAATCTGACTCTTCCTCCCCAATTTTGACACTATCCCAATTCAAAGAGCGCTGCAGGGAGGGTCTCCCCCACAGATAAAATTAAATTAGAGCCTTGCAGTGTTAATTCATGCTTTGCTACATTTCAAACGCACATATATTTTTTTGATTAGGGTATCTTCCCTAGGAGACTGGTTCTACTCTCTACAATCATTGCCTTGGCCTCAGTTTTAACATGCTTTTCCATTCAGTCCCAAACCTGTTTCATTCCTCAAGTGGACCTTTTTAATAACATGCATGTTACAAGAATTCATCCCAACTTTGCTGCATGGAGATGATCTTATGGAATTAGGTATGGGTGAGTTAAAAACAGTGTTTCAGAAGAAGAGCAAAAAGGTTGTTTGTCTACTCTCTACTTCTGTTGCCTATGGGCCATCTCTCTAGCTGATATATATCACTCCAATGTAATGGCAGACAATAACATTTACATTTTTTAGTGAGAGACAGAAATAAAGTAAAATCGAAAGCAAGAAGTATTAGCAATGTATGACTCAGTCCTTGGTAGGGGCAGAAGGGGGAGGGATGATGGGGGGTGTTTATTTTTGCTGAGTGGTTATACTGTGGTTTTGTCACCCTGAACTGAATTGTCCAGCTTGAAACTATTGCTAAGAACTTCATGTTTGTTTTCTATGATGTTCTACACAATACTGCAATAGACTGCCACTGTGTAAAATAAGTCTCCCAACCATCTGTGCTCTTTATATTGGTTTTAATTGTGGAGAATCGGCTCTTCAGAACCAGGTTTCCAGATGCTCTAGGGATTCTGCCCGTGCGGCTGTCAGTGAGAGTTCTTACGCATGTTCAGACCCCTGGATCATACAGACTTCTCGTGGCTGCAGTGCCACTGGCAGGATGCATGAATTTAAGCTTCTGCGGTGCTTGTGCTTGTACTTGTACCCATCCAGTGCCCAGTTTGGTAAGCCACAGGTACAGTAAGAATGGAGGAAGTGATTACTGGCAGATCACTTGTGGGTTAGGGTCACTTTTGTCTCGGCTTTCAAAGCGGGCTAGGAATGATCCTCTTTTTTACCTGTCTTTGCTCATGTAGCGTAGTCTGCCAGAGACAGACTGGGGAGTGCTCACATAAGGAGCACTGCCAGCAGCTGGCTGTGATTAACCTCTTCAGCTACTATAGCTGCAGCAGGAAAAGGTCAGCCGTTAGGTTTTAAACACCACTATCTTTGTTTCAGGGTGCTTATGAGTGCTTATTGACTAATACATTGTTAAATGCACCTTGTTCTGGCAGATCCTAAACCTGAGGGTCTGCCTCCATGAAAAAGTTAGGAGGGTGAGGGTCCAGATTTACAGCATGGCAGCTGTTCTTCATGTAAATAGTCTCACAGCATAGCACGAAAGGGAGGTTGCCTGAGGGATAACAAAGACACAGGCAGTTTCAGCAGAGTAGCTGACGTGCTGTAAATCTCACTCCCGTTTTTTGTGCAACTCTACTTTGAAGTACAACTGACACTTGAGTAATGATAAGCCCAGCATAGCAGGTGTACTCCTGGGTATGCACGTGGTTTACAGCGGCCAACAAAATCCCAGCCATGTGATTCCTGTTAGGTGGCTGGGACTTCCATTTCCAGACCATCGCTGTATTTGCACTGGCTATGAACACAGTCCTCTGAAGAATACAATGTATTGATAAATAAATAAATGTGTATAGTGAGAGCTGTTTCACATTCATGTCAACTGTCAGCAGCCTGTAGTCAATTGGACCAAAAATACATAGATTCCTCTAAATACATAGTCCTTTCATTTGATGCCAAGCTGAAAGTGGGATTTTGACAATATGCAGAGCAGCTGCATTTTTATTTTAAGTATCAAATGTATTTTTAATGGTTTTTTCTTTATATCCTTAATACAATACTTTATATTACTGACATTTATAGAGGAACAATTGAACTTTTGTTTTCACAACTGTGGGTGTCTCTGTTCTCCATTCAGCATTTTCTTTCTGAGCTATAGTGTATCTGTTCAGAACTATTTTTCCTTTGTTTCACTGATAGAATTTAGAATGCTAGACATTTTATCATTTATTGTAGCAGATTTGCTTAAATTAGGCTGTATCTTTAATAATAAGCACTGTATAAATGTTAATTAGTTTATATACAATAGTAAAATAATGAATTGTTGGATGAAATTGTTGAATTGGAAAATAGAAGTATAAAATGCCTTTTGGATTATGCAGTATAAGTTGCTTCTTGCAGTATACTTTTTATAGCGTTTTGTGAATTTTTGATGAAATGTGGGCACTGCTGCTTTGTCTGAGCTCAGTGTCTCTGACTCTTCGAAAGTTTCTCCTCTCTGTTCCATGTAGTTTCCTGTGCTTAATTTCATTTCAGCAGTCATACATCTGAGTCTCAAGGCAGTGGGTAATTGTACGTATACTCATGGTGTCTGTACGTATGCTCATGAAGGTCTTCACGTTTCTTACTCCCTTCTGCACCCCAATCACTTCACCAGGCTATATTGTACATGTTTAATCCTCATAAATTCTTCCTCATCAAATCAGTATCTCCAATCCGTATTAATTTTATGTTGCACTTCTCTGAACTCTTTCCAGTGTGTTGATTTCTTTCTGGAAATGCAGTGATTAGAAGTGAGTGCAGGAAGTAACAAATCCTGCCAGATCAGATCTGTGTAGAGGGTTACGCCCATCACCTTCTCTGGTACGATTGATTGCTATACATTGTTTTCGCTAAGAATCCTTTACCTGAAGACAACATTTGAAAAGAAAAGTTTGCTGTTCAAGTAGTATTTAATCACCACTAATTATATGTCTCCTTTCATTTATTAATGGGCCTCCTTTTTCCCAAGGGTTGGTTTCATATGAAATATTTGTAGGTCTCAATCCTTTGTCCATTAAACTTAGCAATCCTGTATTTCACATTGTCTCCACCTCTTTTTTCTGAAAACCATTATTTTTTCAGATTGCATGCAGCTTCCGATTTTAATTTGGGAACATACAGAAGCCCGAATCACTGTGAATTTATTATTCACTGTTCCTTCAGTTTGGAAAGGAATTGCAGCTTGCTCAGATGGCCTTGTAGCTTCAGTACTTGCGTCCTCTCTGTTGAAGCTGTCTGAAGCATGAATACAGTTTACAGTCATGCTAGTTTTGGCTTTAGAGTTTGGCTGCTTTAAAGTGCTTCACCTTAATCATGCTAACCAAAATCAGTCTTAGTTATTTAAATTGGAGTTACTGCTCATAACATTGTTCCCGAAGTGCTTTATGGGAGTCAATCCTTTTTTGGGTTGAAAAGTAGATGTATGCCTGACATTATTTGCCTAACATCACCCAGAAAACCAGGTTTAGTATAAAAACTAGCAGCCTTGAATAACATTACTCTACATACTGAGCCACTTTATCTTGTTTACACAATAAAACACCACACATTAAGGGAAGACCTTTCACCTTTTACTGTGATCCAAGAAATTGTTGGATATCCAAATGTCATCTGAATCCAGACTGATTTTGTGGGGAGGTTTTTAACTCTTGAAAACAAGTGTTAATTATAAAGAAATTTTATTTGCTGCTTGTTCTACTATAAATGTAGATGTGATGTAAATGTAATGTGTGTAAAACTGTGATGTAAAACTGTTTCTTGACATACTAATTTATCCTGAAAAGCTCAAAGTGTAATTGTACAAGCTTGGCTTGCTCCGTAGGTTGGAATAGTGGGAAGAACTGGAGCTGGGAAAAGCTCCCTGATAGCAGCCCTCTTTCGCTTGGCGGAACCTGAAGGAAGGATTTGGATTGATAAGTACTTGACATCAGAGCTAGGACTCCATGACTTGCGGAAGAAAATTTCAATTATACCTCAGGTAAGAGAGCATTTTCACTGCAGTATTTAAAATGCATTGCTGGGATATGTTCCCTCTGCACCCCTGTATGCAGTAGACACAGAAACTTCAGCGAGGCATTATTCTTACTTGAGTAAGGTTTTGATTATTTTTAGATAGACAGAATCAGTTTGGGGGATTCTGTTCTGTGGCATTTTCTTCCTAGTTTTGGTCCCTGTCTGTTCCTCTGGGATACTTGTGCATAGGTATTAACAGCATGCTGTCCTATAGTCTGGGAAAAAGCAGAGAAAATCTGACAAGTATATACCAATCTTCGGCAATGAAGTCACTTGATCCTTTGGCAGTAGTTCCTGCTTGATGTGTTGCTTGAAACTTCCTTACTAAGGGACTCTGAGGGATATCTGATAAAAATGGTAATGGACAGTGGTTCTAAGCCTCTCTTACCTGCTGCATGTTTTAATTTTCCTTTCCCAAGAATAGGAGTCAGAGAACAGAAACAGGTATGCTATTATGAAAACAAAGGTACTCCCCAGCAATTGGATTGTTGCCTAATGCAGGATGTCTTTGTTTCTGCATGCTCAAGGCTTTGTTATTACACAGTGGAGGTACTCACTGGAACTAGTCATCTTTTGTATATAAGGAGGACGTTATGTGGATTTAAGTTCTATTTTTTTGTTTGTGTGCAGTATTCTTTTCTCCTGAAAGCAGATGGTCATCAGTTCATTCAAGGTCTACAGCTTTTTTAAAACCTTGCCCATAACCATTGCGGGTGATTTCTACATTCAGAAGAATTCAACCTAGTTGAATAAAATAGAGTACTGAGACAGGAAAACTGCTGGCCTGACACAGTTTCTACATGTTGAGTGATACAGATGCTCAGAGTTCACTGCATTTAATTATACATGTTGGGGTTGGGTTGTTTTGTTGTTCGATTTTTTTTTTTTTTTGTAAATCTGTTGCCATGGCTGTAAACTTATTTTAATCCAGTTGAATTCTGTGATTTTATCAAGTTTATATACATGGTAGGGTTTTCATTATGGTCCCAAAGGGTTTTAAGTTTCTGAAGGCTAGCAGGTAGCATTTCTTTTCCACATAAGGGAAGACTTGTTTCCACTAAAAATACACAAAACTATGAAGTGGTGGTAATAGTAAGAAGAAGAGGGTTTGAAATAAGTTTTATACTGTAGTAAACTGAATGGTAGGTATTGTCTTGTACTGCATTAATAGTAGTTTCAATGATAGTAATGTAACATCAGGTAGTTATTTTGCACCACATACCTTCATAATTATGTAGGAAGCTAAGAAACCAGGAGAGATGCTTATTAAAATTATAACATCAAACAAGCTAAACAGAACCATTCCTAGAGAGTGATGAGGCAAGACTGAAGTTTTCTTATATGTTAAGTTTAAATACCTACCTGGAGAAATAAAAATGTGCTTAGGCTTCTAATTGCTTACTTGGATGGAGCTCTGTGAAGGCTGTGTTTGTAAATCTTTCCTATGCAAATGTTGTCTGCCTCCCTGACTGCAAGCATTTTTACAACAATTATTTACAGGTTTGTCTTATTACTTTCCTCTCATAAACCAGTCTATTTTAAATAATAATCTGTGTCAGAAATGATAATTAAAAAATATCCTTATCTTCTGCCACAGTGTGTCTGTTGTTAGGACTTTTATAATAGTTATGAACTATTTATAAATTCAGCCTCTTATTTTGCCAACCTATAAAAATGGATTGAAAAGGAAAATAAGCGTAATAATACCTTCAGAACACACCAAATGGTGTATTACAATATGTATTGTTAAACAAATTACTTCCTAGGTGTTTTTGAAGAAAAAAAATTCTTTAACCTGTTAATATTTTTTTAAATCCTTTGTTCATTCAACAGGCTTTTAGTGACATGTTGCTAATGCAACAGATACCATCAAATAATTGGCATGCTATGTCAAGAAGTGCACGTGTTCTTTTACATTGTTTGTGGCATGTTCTGTCTGTGTTAATCCTTTTATACCACTCAGAATGGTTTAGGAATGAAGACACAATGAAGGCGTTAAGGTCTAAATTCTGTTCCAATTTGCTGCAGCCCTTTGGAGCTGGGCATCACTAGGGTTAGATGGGGCGTAAGTCACGACAGAGGTTAATCTCAGAGTAAGCTGCAGTTATCCAGTGTAAGTTAGACTTTATTTCCTTGAGAAGGTGAAAAAGAAAACATTTTACGTAAGATCTCTCCAGTTTAAAGAAGACTGACAACATAACGTATGGTCTCCATTTATGATTAGCACTATTACAGCATTTGACTTACTGTCTTTATGTGTAGTGTTAAGAGGAGTTTAGCCCTAAAGTAGTGTTAGTGCATGACTCTCAGGTCTGGCAAGTCACATTTGTGAGTATTGATCTGTTGCTTAAGGAGTTCTGCACCAAAAGTTGTCTTCCTGCTTCTCAAACACTGCATTTTTCAGTGTGAATTAATTTCTGCCAGTTTGATTAATGATCTGTTACTGGTCTGATTGGGAACTGAAGTAGAACAAAACTTGCTTCGACCACAGGTAAACCAGCGTTGGTACCTGAATAGAAGGTACTCCTTTGACTCCCTGGTGTATTTTGAGTGAGAGCTTTGCCCAGCAGTGCTCCAGTTCTAAGTAAGTTTGCTTTGATGCTGTGGCAGTATAGATTAACTTCTGTGTGTATAGGTTTAAAAGTTGTATTGAAATGGTGAAAGCTCAATTCCTCTTAGGCTCTGGTGGTAAAATTGAAGGGCATTTATGGTATGAAATGAAAAAACCACCCACAACCAACCAGAGAAGGAAAACCAGAAAGGCATTGTGAGCTCTTTGATTCCTCTCTGGTTTATGTACTTCAAAAAACAAATTTTCAAAACTGCCCAAATGTAATTTAGGAGTGTGAGCTCATTGACAGTGGTAGTTGCTGGTTTTCATTAACAATACCAGGAGGATAGCAGTGATTTCATTTAAGTATATATATAGCTTGTGGCATCAAAACAGTGGCATGTAAATGCCCGTTTGAGTGCCGACATAACTGTGTACAGCAATTTGCAAACAGACCTGTCCTGTTTGGTAAATTGTCTTCATACAGACTGGTTGAACGCTTGCCTCCCCCTCCTCCTTTAAGCAGGCTATTATGAAATACTCTTTTGCATTTCACAAAAGATAGCTACTTGTTGGATATTTCTGTGCTATTGTTGATATAGGTTAGTTCTGATTATTATTAAATTACCTATTGCAATATAAAACCTGTGTTTGTAATGGAATGCTAATTTTACTGGGTTTTAGGAGCCTGTTTTATTCACTGGAACTATGAGGAAAAACTTAGATCCTTTCAACGAATACACCGATGAAGAGCTGTGGAGTGCCTTGGAAGAGGTGATTTATTAAATCTAATAATGTACATCTGATTTTACAAGCCATATAGCACTACAGTGCTTGTCTGCATTTGGTTTTAGATGTTTTCATCAGGTTTGATCAGGGCATAGCTGTTGATGGGAAAAGGTAGACTGTTGTGTGCGTGTTTGTGTGTGTGTGTGTTTGTGCATGTGTGTGTAGACATGTGTATTGTTATGTAAGCCTTTCATGAAAAAATTATCCTTTGGGATGATGCTTTGGTTACGTTTTGATTCATATCTTACTTTTAATGAACATTAATAGATTCTTAACAATGTACTTTAATGTTTTTAGAATTCTAATAGCTGACACACTGTGTAATCCAAGTTGGTACTTATTCATTTTGTGTCTGAATATAAAAGGTAAACCCTGCATACTTATTGTGTCATCAGACACAATAGCTGATTTAAAAGAGAGTTACTCATCCTACAGTATGTTGACATGTCAACAGGTACAACTGAAAGAGGTTGTGGAAGATCTACCTAATAAAATGGAGACACAGCTGGCAGAATCTGGGTCTAATTTTAGTGTTGGTCAGAGACAGCTGGTGTGTCTTGCCAGAGCAGTTCTAAAAAAAAATCGGATCCTTATCATCGATGAAGCAACAGCAAATGTGGACCCAAGGTAAAAACAAAATCTGTCATGCTGAGATGGGCTGTTTTTCTTCTTCTAATATGATCATCTGTACTGTAGAGGTGAACTTCAATGCTTCAACATTTCTTGTAGTTTGTATTGCTATTTGATGTTTTTAATGATAGCATCATAATTGTCTATTCAAAGTGGGGCAGTTGAGCTTTGGCTACAGAGTAGATGATATAAACTAAGTCGTCAAAATATGCCTAATTTCAGTGCATTCCACAGAGTATGGAAATTAATATTCAAAGGTTATTTGTCTGCAGCTATAGACAAGAAGACAAGAACCTCCATGGAAATGCAGATCAGTAACATCAGAATAGCCATGAAACAAGTTGAGTTCTGTTGGTTTCTCAAAGAAATGTCTCTTGGAAATAAAGACGTAAAAAATAAATAAGTAATCACTCTCACCACCACCACCCAAAAAAAAAAAAAAAAAACCAAACCAAAAATAGAAAGGTGAAAAATGGCTGTAAGCAAAACCTGGTACTTCTGGTTATGAAATGCTATCCCTTCAGATGGCTCATATGCTGGTTTAATAAGTTACAGATAAAATAGGGGCAAGGGGAGGAAGGTAAGCTGTCCTAAACACCAGAGGAATTGCAAAACAGATTTGGAGATGTTTAAAGCTACAGGAGGGACTCATTCATCATTCATTATTTTGTCTTGTATAACTCAGGCAGGCAGAACTTTCCTGAATTCATTCCTGTTTGAACTAGAGTTGTACTTCTAGAAGAACATCCAACCTCAATAGAAAAAAAATTCAATGACAACCCTTGTTAAATTGTTCCAATAGCTAAGTACCCCCACTGTTAATTTTTGAAACATTTGAAACACTGGTGGAAATATTTTGGAAACAATGCTGCAAACGTACTGCATCAATTAGTCTGAGCTGAATATATAGTTCCAACAAACTATGGCTTGAGGGAGAACTCAAAGTCCAAAGAGGACAATAACACAGCAAGTCCCTCAAACAGATGCATTAAGGATTTTGTATGTCATCTGGGTGTGACTCATTTTTATAACATCTTCTTGGGGGAGAAGTGGTGCTACTAGGGTAGCTTTGCAGTTCAGCTGACAGTGTATTTCTAAAACCTTTAGAGAAGTGCATTCCCTTCCCAGAGGTTCTCTTTTCCTTTTGATATTTTTCTTTTTTTCTTTTTTTTTTTTTTCCCTTCTCTTTGGACTATTAGTTTATTTTTGACTGAGCTTTGATAGATTAACTGCGATTAATCATAGCTGTGGAAATCTAATACTATCTTACTAATCCTCCCCATTTTGGCATCTCATGTGTGTTCTCAACTTGCACTATCCATTTAATTGATCTTGATTAATGTGTGCTGCAATATATATTATAATAAGGTAAATGTTTGTTTGTATCAACTCTAGGCATAACAATACAAATAATAACTTGGAACTTCTTCTTTGAATTCAGTTTGCATTACAGTCATTATTACCTTTTCCTTAATGTGTTGCTGTAACTAGAGCCAAGTATTTTTCAGCTGTGCAATCTGATAGGACGCTCATCAGGAAATGCTGATGTGGGTTGCTTAACTGAGCAGTCAGGGAGGCATTTTTGGCATGTAAGGAAAACCTCCTTCTCTTCTGATGCACAACCCCCATTCCTGGCACCCTTGTCTCTAGCCTGGCGGCAAGCGCACATCGTATCAAGCACCTGGGATAGGAAACCATGGGGAGCTGCCGCTGGCTCTGGAGATATAATTTCTTATTTTGTTGTTTTTCTGGCTCTTGATCTCTTTGCCTCAAGTGCTGCTGCAACTGTGTCCCTTCTCCAGTTCAGCCTAGAAGCACATGTGAGAAAGGCAGGGTTTGGGGTGGGAGGAGGAGAAGGAAGGGTGAGGTGACATGAGGCAGTGTATGTGACAGCAGGGTGAGAGTTCATCCTTCTCCCTCCTTCTTATATCTTCCAGCTCCCATATGTACCCTTATTTTCCCTTTTGCTCCTCATAGCTACCAGCTGCTCTGCAGCAGGGGTGTCAGCGCTGTCGTGAGGGAAAGGAGGAGCTTGCCATAAAGAAGGTTGCCCTAAGTCAGACTACTTGCATGTTTTACGTGATGACTGACAGGCGTTTAATTTGATCTTATCTTGGTCCTGAAGCTGTCATTCTCACCCTAAAGAATGGAGTAATTTTAAACCATTCTGGAAAGCTGTATGAAATCTGGAGCAGAAGAGCTAAAAATCTTTCTGTGGTCGCTTTAGTGATACATTGAAACAAAATCCTTAGTAACTGAGACTTTTTTAAATACTGAGTAAGTTGAACTTAAAAAGCTTTCTGGACACTGGTTACAATACCATGCATTAGCTCCTATTTTTACTGCTTATAAAAGACAAAACTACGTGGGACCACTCCACTGCCACATTTTTACATTGGTTGTTCATTAAGGCTGGTGAAAACAGCCACTGCACATAGTTCTGTTCATTAATCACCTTAAATGAGCTTAACCTTGTAAGGTTTAACCTTTCATTACATCTACCTGCTGTCTGTAGCTGTTTCTCTTTTGGAGAAATTACCTAAAGCCACTCAGGAATTGCGTAGTGTGAGATACGCTTCCAGGACAATCCCAAGAGGACATTAGACTGAAGATAATGACTTATCCAGTGTTCCTTTCAGCAGCTTGGTTGCCTCTCATTCAGGTTGTATTTATTCTTGCTCTTTAGATAGTTTTCTTTTTACACAGTCGACTAATTCAGGTTAAACCAGATCTTGGGTTGCTGTGAAACTTGGTGTTAGGATCCTCAACCCATGATGCCAGTGGGACAGCCATACCACCATTTTGTGTTTTCTTATTGTACTGCTCCTTGCGATGGGGAGTATTGTGGTTCCCATTTTCATGTAATCAGATTAGGGTTGAGCTTTTGTCATGCAGCAACCCTGGTTTTGGTATTCAGGTTGCATCTTTGGTTTCTAATGTGCCTGAAAGATGATGGGGTTTGATCCACTGAGATGGGTCATGGAATCACTTGGCACTTGCCTGGCGACTTTCTCAGTGTGGTAGGTTCCACAAAGGGTCCATTTATGCCTTGCAAAAAGGGCAGCAATGCTGCTGCTTTAGCACTTTTCTAGAGGGTAGGTGGCTCTAGATACAGTCTCTACACTCTGTCAGCATGTAATTCTGTACACAGGTCCTTTTCTTAGTCTTAGATTTTCTTGCCTCTCCTACCTTCTTCCTGAGATTCTCCTGCAGGTTACTGATGATGCTTCTGCCTGCCACCCCAAGAAAACTGTACTACAAGGTCTGCCATGAACCGTAGAGAGGATCTGATCGAGTCCCTATCAGTGGACATGCCTACATGAGATTTCATACTGTGGTATTTAAAGATGGGTCTGTTTCTGATTACTTTGTAGTCTCATTTTTGCAACATTTGTCACACCCACAATATGGCCAGCAGTTTCTTGTTACGGAAAAGCTTATATTCAAGAAATACCTGTTTAAGATAATAGTTTGATAGTATCTATCTGAGAATGAGAAATAGGTCTTATTGTAAATGTAGGAAGAGGTGGTGCTCTAAGGAATGCATGTAATAAAGGGAGATACAATAAGTGAATGCAGAGGACGGGGATGTTCAAGGATGAGGCATTCTTCTGAGGTAACAATAGGAATAACCTGAGAGTTACAAATCATTTTGAGCCCTTTAAAAAGTTGTTTTCACAATCCCTGAGCAAGCTGTAATTCTCTGTGCTCCATAGTAGCTCTGCATGAAACCTCACCTTGAGCTTGACTATAAGGAAAGAAAAAAGGCTTTCTTCACATAGTTCTAAGGAGTATTGAGACTTTTGTTCCTGTTTTGCCATTCTAACCATTACAGAGAACACATCCTGCTATCTGTATAAGCCTCTCCCCTACTGAGTGTTTTCATGTATGACCATGATTTTTTTCTTTTGAAAAAGAGAGTATTCAAGTCATTGAGGCATTGCTGAGAAGATAGCAAAAACAGATACATGCATTAACACTGAAAGCTGTAGTATTCCTATGATGTGGGGCATTAATGATGAACGACTTCTTTTCTCTACGCAACTGTTAAAACACAAGGCTAAAGAGCATGACTCTGTCCTGACTTCTCCTGTCTCTTTCCTTGACTGCATGCTGTCCTTGGTTCAAAGGGAGATGTTGAGGAACACCTGCTTCCCACCCTGTTTTTCATCTGCTTTTAGGAAGCAGGAGCAGAAGGACTAAGCCTTCTCAGACTGTGACCCAGAACCTGGTTCTCTTAAGCTCATAACAGAGCTTAAATGTTTCTGGCCCCAGATGAAGACGGCAGTCAACATGCATGGGAACTATTACTTAACTGTTTATGTCTTCCTTCTCTATGATCATTCTGTCATCAGCAGGCATCTGTCTGTTCCTTTGTCATGCTGATTGCTTAAACTTTGTAACAGAAGTTATATTCAGTCCTTCAGAGCATGAGCTTGTGCTTTCTACTGTGGAAACTTAGAGGTTAATCCATTCTTCTAAGTCATCCTGTTCTTCCGAAGTTGCTTTGTCCGCCTTTTATTGTTATTGCCTCCTGACATGGTGGCATCAGAACAATTCTTTTTACTTAATTTATGAAGTGATACTAAATACTTATCATGTGCAGACAGATTCAATGTAGAAAATATTGTACTTCTGTCTAAAAAGCAGTAATTTGTCGGAGGACAACATGTATTGCATGAATCCTTGTTGTATTTATTTTATTTTTCCAGTTACTTTTAACAATTTGAAGAAGTGAGGCTTTGTAAGCAACTGGTTGAAGCCAGCATGGCTGCCTAAATATACCGGTTTATCCAGATACCTTCTTTGTCTTGTTTTACCCCTGTCTACAGCATTTATTGTTCTCCAGTCATTATATGTAAAAGTACCATTTAATGTTTTAATAGAAATCCTGGAAATCAGAACCTTCAAGACTTCTAGGCTGGAGCTTCCTTGGTCCAGCTAACCCCAGAATATTCTGAGTTCTTTGTGTCTCCCTTCTATCTTGGATGCAAATTCTAGTGTCTGTGCCTTTTTCTCCATTGCCGTCACTCACTGGTTTTTTGAATGCTGATGGGCAATATGTGAGTGTTCACATGGCCTGGCTTTGGCCTGGTTTGGAAGCCAAGGCTTCGGGTGCAATGTGGGCTGCCTCTAGAGGGCATTCATTACCTGATGGCTGCCTAATTCAAGTGCTCCTTCCAGCCATGCCTTTCCCCTTTTATTGGCTAAAGAGAGGACTATGTAGATGTCCACATTTAAGCCTGACTGGTATGCTCTATATTAGGTGGTGTCAATGCTTCTTGTACAGTTAGTTACTTGAATGCTCTCCAGTTTTCTGCGTATTGCACCTCTTTTAACGCTTATTTATACAGCTAAAGAACTTTAGTGTTTTGTGTATCTTCTGGTGTAATTTTATTTCCTTTTCACTCTTCTCGGCTTTATTTGTAACAGTTACCACTTTAACCCTATGCTTCAGTGTCTGTGCTCTAGCTTAGTTTTCATTCTTTACAAGTCTTATGTTTCCTTCTTAGGTGGTTAATTCATATAGTAGGTTGAGGCTCTTAACTTGAAAGCTTTTATCCCTTTCCTTGGATTGTGCATTCCAGTTAACACTTTTCATTAATGGAGTATGCCACGTTTTCTTTTTTCTATATTCAGGTTCTTGAGCTACTCCCGTCCTACTTTAGTTTACCAACCACCTTCTTTACATAACCCCCTTTTGCAGCTGAGATCAAGAACCTTCATTATTGGCTGTCTTGTGTTCTTCAGTTGATTTATTGCAATGAAGGATATTTACTTTCACCAACTTTTCTTCACTGCTTGTGCAAACTAGTGCTTGAAAGATCATGTAGAAATCTCTAGGAATATCTGACAGCAGAATTTTTCTGTAATCAAAGCCTGGGAAATTAGTCTCCTGAAATGAAATCTATTGCTCTACTTGCAGGAAGAAACTCTTTTCTCTCAGGTATTTAGAGGATAAATTTTTGGAGTATGTTTCATGATATGCCCCCAAGCCATCTAACATAATGAGAGGAGGAAGTACTGTAATGACCTCAGAAGCATATTTCCTGCTATACAGTCATGTTTGATGAAGTCATAAAACCTGCCTGCCATTCAGTTATCCATGCAAACATCTTATTTTTGTCTGAATTGCTCTTGCTGTGTTTCAGAACAGATGAGTTCATTCAGAAGACGATCCGTGGAAAGTTTGCTCACTGCACAGTGCTGACCATTGCACACCGCTTGAACACCATTATTGACAGTGATAGGATTATGGTAAGACAGTTAACTGCTTAAATTATTTAATTTTTTTCCTTTTTCTTTTCCCTGAAGAAGAATAATGTTATTGACTCTTTCTTCTTAATTTTTATCCAAAAGTGGGCAAAAGTTTAAGTTGTTCTTTAGACTTATCCTAGTTAACCTAGTTACCCTAGTTATTGTGATTGGCAACTCATAAAACCTATCATAGAAGTAATGACCTGAAAAGACTTCTTACATTGTCTGGCCCTGTGGTTTCCTACCTGCGAGGCATGAACCCATTGCAGGTGAGGCACGGTAGCAGACCCGAGCCAGTCATAAACTTTGCCACCACTAGGAGACTGTGAAGACACACACGCCCAAGAGGCTCTGGACAGAGTCAGCTGGATTCGGTCAGGTTTATTAATTCAGTCTCGGTGGGCTGAGGGAGGCAGTGACAATAGTTAGTGGTGTGGGATGTGTGAGGAGGAAGTGGTAGAGGTTCTGGGGCAGGAGGCATGGAGGTAAGGAGGCAGCAGCTGCCCTGGGGCAAGGGTGGTGGTGGGAGAAGTGGAACTAGACTGGTGAGGTAACAAACAGGGCCAGCTTTCTAAAGCAAGGTTCAGACAGAAAAGATGAAGCATCACCAATGCAACAGCCTCTGCCATCTTTGTTTCCAACAGAGCAGCAATAGACTTTGCCACTGTGAAATACCTTCTCTGCCATTTTGTCTGCCCCACAATGCATTGCACACACATAGAAATTAGGAAATACTTGCAGATTATTTTAATAAAGGCAGTGGTCTTCCCTAGGCTCTCAGGAGATGAGGCTGGTCTGTGTCCTTGAAATGATGTGCAGCCTGCAGTTTTGCAATTTTCTGCAGTAGGAACAGGAGCCCTTTGCAAGCATTTTCTTCACAGCCAGTTAATGAAGTAGCTGACAGCGGGCAAACCGTGTTCATGAGTGGAACTCAAATTTAACTGGGCTTCAATCAGAAATTACCCTTCACCTCTCAGTGGTAACTTTAAAAAATTACTTTCTTCAACTTTTGCTTTGTGAAAATGAAGCACATTAATTCTTTCAAATTTTTTACTGGATGCTCAAAACATTTTAAAATCTGTGATTGAGTTACAGTGGTTGCCTGAAGTACACAAAATGAAACAATTTGATCTATTGAGGTGAGTGGTGTTCTGAGCAGCAGAATAGGTTGTGAACTGAGTGATGACAGTTTACTTACAAAGAGAGAAACCAGCAGAACTGCCGTAAGTAGTCATATAATTGCAAGCATTTAGCGTATAATAAATAAATATTTTCTTCACTGGTGAATACCTCCCCACAGGTCTAATGGATATGTTGGTGTTTTCTACAGCTAAGTGAACAAAAGATTTGTGAGGAAACAACTGTGACCTAATTAATAGCTGTGTGTGTTTGTTAGCTGTCCAAAGGGATTTCTGTGGGTTTTGGTTCATTAACTACCATTAGCATGTTATGCACAGAATGCTCTTTCCATGAAGATGTTTTCATGGGTTTACCTTTAATACACAGTTGAAATGAAAACTAAATGTTTTGTCTACTTTTTTGCCAAAAATCATTGGAACAAAGCACAGAAATTGCCCTTCTCCCCAAATTGACCAGTATTATTACCAAATGTATAGCTACACTACTGCATTTTTAAAGTCTGTACATCATTATTAACATAATGTGGTTTCAGTTTAGCCACTCTTCAGTTTTCTTGTTTCCTAAAAGTGCATTTATGCTCATACATTGTCTAATACAGTCTTTTCTGAATGCCTTTGACCTCTTTAGAGCATTAAAGAAAAGATTTGCAAGATTATGTGCCTTTTAGTCTGCAGTCATTAGTAACTCTTAAATATTTTTCACGTTTTCACATTGTTCCACTTTGATCTTAACAGATACCTGTAATTTTGGAGGGAAAAAGGAGGGTGATAAGACTGTGTCTGGACAAATCAGAAATATGATCACATATTTCGAGTGATCAGTTATGGCACATGTGCTTTTGTTACACTTTTAATTACTTGAGTTTACTCAGGCATGTAACTCCTAGTGGGAATATAGCAGAATTTTGGAAGAATAAGAAAAATACGTGTTAAAAATTGCAAGGATAAAGAATAGAAGACTTAACTATTAATGAGTGCCTTAACAATAAAAAGAGCATTCATGGAAAAAGTAATCATTTACTTAAGTATCACAAAAATTGAGAACACTCAGCTGAAGAAAGCTTTCAGTGTATTTTAAAATTTGGTTAGTCAATAATGTGTTTTAGTAATTCACAAATTTAACTTGACGCAGATTCTTTTTTAAGAGCAGAAGTGCACAAACTGAAGTGCATTGTTCTTCCATTACTTGGTATGATTAAAAAACCTGGATTTGTTTCTTCTTCAGCTGAGACCTCTAGTGCAATAATACCTTCATTATATATTATGATTCATTATAAGCCATCCCAAATCTCTGTTGTTTGCTATCACGGTAAGTTTGTTAGGAAGCTAGGGAAGAAGAACAAAGATGGAGCCTGGCAGTTGGGATATTAACAACTGTCTTTTGACAAATAATGAGAAATGAGTCCAAGCCCATTCCTGAATAAGCATACATAAGCTGAACAGAAACTAGGGTTTCCTTCCCTTCCCATAAAATGAGATTGAAAGGAACCTCAGGAGGTCCCTAGTCTAACCTCCTGCTCAAAGCAAGGTCAGCACTAATTTCAGATGAGGTTGCTCGGGGCTTTTTCCTGTTGGGTCTTGAAGACATTGAAAGTTGGAGATTCCGCAGTCTCTGCGGGCAGTCTGCCCCACTGCTTAATTTTTTGCCATGAAATCTGTGGTTTTTTCCTTCTACCCAGTTGAAGCCTCCCTTCAGTTTATGGCAGTTGTTTCTCATTTTCCGCTGTGTATTTCACTAAAGACCCTGCTTTTGTCCTGTCAGTAAGTTCCTTGTAGGTATGGGAAGATTGCTGTTAAAGTCCCCTGAAGCCATCTGTTCTCCAGGATGAAAAAGCCCTGCTCTGTCAGCCTCTCCTCATAGGTCAAGTGCTCCAGTCCACTGTCCACACTGCTGTCACTCTTTCAAACTTGCTTCAATTTACCCTCATCTTTCTTGTATTGAGGGATCAAAACTGGTCACCATATTCCAGATCTGATCTGATGAGCACTGAATAAAGCAATTTCCTTGATCTGCCCTCCTGTTTACCCATGGCAGACTGCTTGACTTGTTAACTTAGTCAACACCAGGACCCCACCTCCTTTTCAGCACAGCGGATGCCCAGGCAGTTAATCCCCAACTGGTACTGATGCAGGGGGTCAGTCAATTCCAGATCAGGATTTTGCTTCTGTCTGTCATTGCTGAGTGTCATGAAGTTCATGCTGACCTATTCTTTTAGCCTGTCTAGGTCGAAATAGCTTTGAATGTCGTGGAATCATAGAATGATTAGGGTTGGAAAGGACCTTAAGATCATATAGTTCCAACCCTTTGCCATGGGCAGGGACACCTCGCACTAAACCATGTGACATGTCAACCCTATCTTAAGTGTATTGACTGTAATCTCAGGTTTGGTGTTGTACACAAGTTTTTGATTTAATTCAGTTTAATTTCTGGCTAAAACAGAACTTTCCAAAAAGAAATTATTCAACTTTATGTTTAATCCAAACATTAAAGAAAAAAAAAAAACAAAACAAAAAACAGAACAGAAAATAATTTTGAGAAAGACATGAGAAAATATCAAGTTGGATGAGTATGGAAATAGGAACTGAACGTGAACTGTTGCATGTCTGCTCACACCCATCGTAATAACTGGTTCTATTTTAAAAGAGAAGAAAAGCCTACTGGAAGAGGAAAAAAAAAGGAAGAACAGAATACATTTTATACAACTGTAGACAAATCTGGCCTCAGGAGTTGTTTTAATTCTCGTTTGTTCCATTCCCAAAACCATACCTCTGGTTTCATAATCCAGGTCACGCCTTAAGAGTATTTCCATTATATCTATGTTAGTGATAAACACATTTTATCAGAACTTCAAACGCTTAAAATCATTGAGGGAAGAGCTGTATTGTGTAACGTGATACTCTCTAACCCAATCACCTCAATGAGTAATACTGCATTGCACTTGCATAGGACCTTTCATCTGGAAATTGTAACGCTCTTTATAAACATTAATTAATTAAACTTCAAACACCTGGGTGAGATAGGGAAGTATCCATACAATCTTTGGAACCAAAGTTGGAAAGACTTGTTAAGTCAGACCATCAAATAATACTACCATAAAATTATAATCCAGCGGTTTTCAAACTCCTTCCCTCCCCCCCCACCTTCCCTCTGTGCTGCTCCAGTGTCTCATAGGACATCTTCTCATTCCTTTTTCATTAGTTTGAGAACTCGGGTTGTAACTCCTCCCATAAGGTGTGCTAGCAGTACCCGTTTTTAGCTCTTTGGCACAAGCAGCCACCCTGCTCCCCCTAGCAGAAGGGGAGGATGGTGTAAATGCTGAAGATGCCTCTTTTGTGGTGGCAAATCCTGGCAGAACCTCATCTCAGTCTTGTTTCACTGGCATCTCATTCCATGTAGCTTCCCCACCGCCACAACAGCTGCTTCTCTGTCCTGTCCTCACCTTAGAGGGCAAGGGCCTTTTACATAAATTGCCTCTGCAGCCAGGAGGCACCACGCCCAAGACTTCCAGTGGTATCTCATAAAATCCCCATCACCCACTCCTCCCCCTCCTATCTGCTTCCTTCTCCAGCTTGAGGAATACTTCTTAGAAACTGTAAGGGGAAACAGAAGCATACAGAAGTTGAGGCTCATCCAGCAACATAGTGGATCAGTAGCAAATTAAGTATATGCATCTGGCAAGAGCCTGATGGCAGTTGTTTGCTCTATATGCTATGCCATGGTATTTCTGTAGGAAAGCCACAGAGCAGTCAAAACTTGTGCGTTTTCCAATGATGAGGATGTTTCTCCACAGAGACTTTTCCTATCAGTGCAATACCTCTTTGAAATGGAAACTCTTTATGCAAGCAGAACTTGATCTAGTA